AAACTATATTTGATAATATTACCTGGGGAACAACACGACCCCGCGTGGCGTGAACAATAGTTTTTAAAGATATGATCGGCTCGGACAATCCATTTTCGATACGATCATAATATTATGATGAGGGTCCCCTAKAAAGTAAGATCATACAATTCATTTCATTGTATTTTTAACTACATACCTATTACTTATTAATGTCTTGACCCACTATCAAATTTTAAGTTAATAATTTTACCTATAGTATCTCTTATGTTTTTATTGATCTAACTTACTTTAAAATTAAAAGCCTACTAGATGCCTTACGTCTAAATTCTCACATATAAATTTGATAATAAGTCAGCATGTCCTAATTTTAGAGCTAACAAAACAGAATTCGTACTGTTGAACTTAAATTTGAAAATCGCGATGTGGTAAGTACCTACGTGCACGTTGTTTGTGAGACTTTTGTTCTTATTTACGTCATTAAATTATCTACTTCTAGTCTTAACTGCCGATGTCTTAAAATTATTTCCGTTCATTATTGAATATACTCTGAACGCATTACAAATTATAATGTATTGTTTTACAATAAATTACTCATTATAATTCATTTTCTTTTTTTTTAGGTTCATTTGACAGCAAAAATAATTCTTGAAAATGATATAAACTCATACACAGAAAATACAAGAAAAATGGTAGGAAATACCTACTAATAATTGTCATAGACGTTCGCAGATGGATACTGGTGGAGGGGGGAATACCTTGCTATTTTAATATAAACTTTTTGCCTATGAATAATTGTTTTATCACTTATAATTTATGGAAATTAAAAATTCATATGTTATGTGTATGATAGATTTTTAGCTCTCCCYCCACCTAATATTTCTGCGGGTGCCTTTATTAGTTGTTTTAATAGTTTGACTATCATTAAATTAATGCTACAATTATGTATTTGTTAACTATCTAATCTCGTTAATAATTTAGGTAGTAGATTTTTTAGACCAATTGCTTCATCGCCACGTGAGAATTACAGCGTGGGGGTTCTATGATGTGAATAAGGAATTGTTGTTCATGGTAAATATTAATGAAAATTTCATTTTATTTCAACTCAAATAATATACCCCCTACTTATTAAATAACAAATATTTATTTTGWAGGTGTTAGGTTATCAATGTGGTTTGTGTTTGATATGTACTCAATTTACGACATCGGGCATTCAACTAGTTAATAATCTAACGACARTTCAAAAGAATTCTACATTTTCTACAAAAGACTAATCATGAAAGATTTAAAAACAATTTAACATATTTTTCGGTAGGTTGTAGACATTTGTAGCCTGTAGCTACATTGCTACAAATTAAATTTTACAAGTTATTTACAATACCCTACAAGGCTACAACTTACAAGTAGGCAGGCTGTAGACACATAGATTGCTTTTAATTTGCGTGTGCTTTATTCAGACTTAAATACTTAATAACCTATTAATGTGTAGGCTATTAGAATACCAATAGAATGGTAGGATTTCTGATGTGTAATGATTAAAAATCTGGAAACATATATTTTAGAATAATTATTATAAGTGTTTAACTTGAAATTATAAAATAAAATATTGATAATCGATATGCAATACCTAAACCTAGCCTTTTTTTTCATTTAAACGTTATAAATTATAATATATTACAATCTATTACAATCTCACGACGTTGCTATGCAACTCGCTAATAAACGACGCCGCGTCCAATGTTGTAAAATTAATAGCACAACTTTATCTAATAATTTATACTCGAATAGTCCTGTCATGACAACGATAAATGTAGGTAGGTGCCTAATACRCGCCTATTCACTTAATAATTCTTAATAGGAAAATAAAAACGCCTAGGGTGAGTAGGTAATATAAGGTCTCTACCTACGCAAATGTTTACATCTCGTTTAACATTTTATATATTGTATTTTTACGAATCGAATGTAACATAAATATATGTAATATAAATATAATTAATGACTAAAAATAAACTTGTAGAAATTCAAAATATTACCCAACATTTTCCTATGTAATCCTCAAACCAGTGCTTGAATTTGTGCGGAGTTTCACTTCTTTTTAAAATATATCTATGTGAAACCCGTCTTATTATCCAAATTAATTAAATATTTAAATATTCAGGTAAACTCATCATTTTAGATTCTGATTTTTTACACTTGCATTCCCCTTTTTTCCAACATAGTACTTCCACAAAAAAGGTATCTCAGATATACATTTCCCTTGACCCACCATACGTTTATATTAATGATGAAAAGTATGAAAATCCAAAAATTTATAGTTAGAACATTTCCAAAATCTATGAAGCGAATAATATAATAGACTTTATTCTTGCTATCAGTAGATTCCYGAATGATACAGAATACAGTTGAATAGTTGTAACAGATAATTTGACAACAACTACACAAAGAGAAAAAGTTTACCTTTTTCAGTTAAGACATGTGCTATTCATGATATAACTTAGAAATATAAGAATGCCTATCACTCAMATTCTCACAATGTTGCAACACCCAATTATATATTGCTATTCATTTTATTATTCTATAAATGCATAAAAATTGTTTTTGAAATTTATTAGGCATGTAGGTAATCTTAATGACTCAGTAACTATATTAAGTGCATTTTTAAAAATATTCTTTGAAGTTTCAAATATTCAAAATATATAATATTAAATGAGACAAACAAAAAAATTTATTTTATCATATTAAATTCATTTAATACACTTTAACTTTKTACATAAGTATAAGATAAAAAAATAATAATATTTAAGTCTTAAAATCAACCATACAGCTTGATAAAATATTTATACAAAATTGATAAAAAGTGTCAATATGTTATTTTAATAAAACTAAATYATACAAAATATGAATAAATGTGTTTATAAATAAAAAAAATAACACTTTTTGGAGTATTGTTAAAATAATACCTAATTTAAATWAATTAATATGTATACAAATGCACCAAATTGGTCTTCTTAAACAGTATGTTCTGAAGAAGCAAGTAAGTTTTGTACTGCAATCAATTATTATTTACATGGGCATTGTCTTTAAAAAATATTTATTAACGATCAGAATTATATCCCGGGAATAAATATAGCAGAGTTTTAGCCAATTTCACATTTATATTCATGGGATAATTCTTCCCCAATTCTGCTCTACATGACGGACATTGGAAAACATGAGCAATAAATGATCTTTTAAGACAACCCTGAAAAACATAGGTAATATTTATAGATTAGTATTTTAATAATAAACAAATAATTAAAAACATAAATAGATCTCAAAGATAATTTATTTTTACATACTTTACAAATGTTGTGAGAACATTCAGTTGTAATTGGTTCATACACAATTTCTTGACAACATATGCAAGAAAACATTTCTTCAACTCTATCCAAAAATGCCTAATTAAAAAAAAAAAAAAAAAAGTTAGTATGTTTAAGAATACATAAAGAGTACTAGATAGTTTATACTTTTTTTCCTTTTTCTAATAACTCTTTACAATCATCCCAATATTTTTTATTGGCAATGTCAGCTTTAATGAGTGCTTCTGCTTCTTTTTCAAGTTCATACCGAATTTTTGATTTCTTTCCTGGRCAATTAGTGATTTCTCTCTCAGAAGAATTGCTCTTGGAATCATTACACTGCTCGTTGTCCTCAATGTCRGCGTCCTGTAGTGTTCTTTTTTTTTTAGATCCAAGTAATTTTGATTTTGTGTCAGTAACAGAAGGTATATAGTTTTCAGGATACTAAAAATCACTCGGTATTATTAACACAATTTACAAATTTAATACCATTTAACTCACAATTATTTTAAGACCTAATTGTGCTATACGCTTTTTGCCTTGTGCAGTCCAGGGAGCTGGTGTGGGATCATCACGTTTTAGAACAAAACGCCACACAGTGAATCCTGATATTCCAGTTTCAGGATAATATTTTATTACCTTATAAAGACCATCATACCTTTAAAATAAGCAATTTAAAATGATGAAATTAACAATTTTAATACTTTTTAAGCTTAATGAATTAAATTTTTAAAAATCTAACTAAGAAACAATTAGGTAAACAGGAAATTTGGAAAACAAAATAATTAGGTACTAAAGTAATAAATATTTTAAAATATTTAACAAATAAACAAAAAGTCTTTCTGGGTTGTTTTATAAAATAAATGTTAGGCAAATTATTATTATTGTTAGGCATTGTTTATTAATTGTAATGAGTTGCATTCTGCTGCACTTTAATAACAGTAAATCAAAGATATTACAGTCAAACTTTGATAAAATGAAATTTTCTGTTTAACAAATTATTTTTGAAAACCATGATCTTTATTGTTCTTCATTTGTAAATAATATTTATCAAATTCCTCTATATAGATAAWTTTTTTGTTCTCCATACAACTTTGTTATATCAAAATTTCACTGATTTTATTATTTTATCAACTCTCAATTAAAATTTTAGTTTAATAATGATAACTATAATCTGTCAATTTTTGAATAATAAATATTGTATAGACCGATAATATTTTTAGTTTAGTGAATTGATAGGTCATAAAAAAATTCAATCTTTAAGTCCTACCGATTTCCCAGCTCTGGTGCATATTTGGAATGTTTACCAAGTTTATAATTTCGTACAACTCTAACTGGTTTGCCCTTTTTCCAATCTGCAGCTGTAGCTCCCTTTTCACTATCAATTTTTGCATTACAATTGAGTGCCAAAGCTCTAAAATTTAAATTTAAAAATTAATATCATGAAAAAATGTATAAAGATTTACAAAAATTGTGTAAATGTATAATATACCTATTATAGCGSGTCAATTCTTGGTCACAACTTTGAAGAGCAGTACGTTTGTTCCCTGACAAATCACGTCCGCCAGAACCAGTATACAAGAACTCATCACCATTGTCAACATCATCTTCATAACCACCACTTAACACAATGCTAAATGCACCCTGATTGTCTCTACCGTGAATTCCTCCAACAGGTGGACGGTGAATGCCAGCTTCAGATACCTTATAATAAATCATTTATCAAAATATTTGAAAAACTTAAAAAATTAAAAAAATGTATTTTATACTTACTTGTACACGGAATAACCATGTGGTTCCAACCTCGACGCCAGGAATGGGACCAAAATGRTTTGATGGAACAATATTACACTTTTTTGTTCTCCCAACACATGCCATACCCTTACCCCAGTCTCTTTTTGATGTCGACATAGATTCTGGCGTCTTTTTCTTTGAAGCTTTTAATTTTTCACCTGCTTTGACAATTTCGTTTTCATCATTTTTACATGATGGACAATACCTTAAAACATTWTAAYGCCACATTTTTACACTCAACATTTGAGAAAATAAATAAAATAAAAATTGAAAAATTGGCTAACCAATCGTCAGGTGGCATCTCTTTTAAGGGTGGCTTAAGGCATTCCATATGGTAAGGATGGTTACATTCATCACACATTAACTGTTTGTCTTCATTTTCTTTGCCACCACAAACACGACACCCACATTCCTTACATGATTTGTTCAAGTTGTCTTTGCATTTGATACAATACAAAGCAGCCGCTCCTTTTCAAGAGAAAAAAATAAATTTAATATATTTTTTTGTTTTTCAATAAACATTTCATTTGTTATTACTCATGACAGTAGGTTCAGTTTGCATTATTTTATTATCTTCTGGTGTCCGTTCTGAAAGTAACTGATAGGGTTTTACTTTATAGATATCATCGAGAAACATCAAATGACAATTTTTTAACACCGCATTATCTAACCCAACAGATACATCTCCAATAACATCACGGCCTCTTCTATTAGTTTTTATCTCTTTCACAAGTACGTCATACCAATAACCACGTTCTTGAGGGTAATCTACATTGTAATTCATGAGAACTCTATCATTTTTTTTTAATTTTTCAAAAGGCAAAATATCAAATGCATGTGGCCGTATTTCTTGCAATTGAACTTCAATAGGAGGTTCTTCRGGACATCTAAATAAACATTTATTAATAGTCATAGAATAAATAAAAGATAAAAATAAATATAAAGCATTCACCCCAAAATCTCTGCAACATAAATTAGTCCATCGTTTTCCACTGGACTTTTAGGATCATTAGGTTTATTTACTACACCATTGTCTTTTTTTATCTTAATCAATTTACTAATGAACCATGATCCATAAGTATAATCTTTTATATCAACATAATCGCCAACTTTAAAATATTTGCTCTCCTCAGAATTATCCTAGAAAAACACAATGTAATTGATTCTTAAAGTTTGGGTAACAATAAAATATTTACTTCATCCGATGTTGAACTGGTGGTAGAACAACTTGGAGTAGGTGTTTCTTTTTTTGAATTAATTGTTACTTTTGATTTTTTTGGAGAGTTTATTTCAGCAACAGCTGTCCTAACCATCAGTTGAATTACATCATTTACATTTATACTATAATCAAATAGCCTATATTGATCTTCCAACTGAAACAAAATATCACAATTGATGAGAATCAATAGAAATTAAATTAGTTTAATTCAACATATATAAATTATGCTGCATTAAAATATATCCATACAAGCATATTTAAAAAAAAAAAAAATTGAAATAAGTTATATTTTATATTGTATTTATACATATTGTATAAACCTATAAGTATATATGCCATGTACAAAATACAAGACAATTATAATATTTAAAAAAAAACATTTTTTCAAGTAGGCATTAATGCATTMGATACTTATAAATACCAGTGATTTACCCATACTAATAAATAATACACCAACCAATGATATTTGCAAGAGGGATGAGTTTTGGGTTTTGATTCACAACCCTAAATTGTATCATAACACTTACTATGRCACACTCCATTAACCATATTTGTAATTTGTAATTTTTTATTTTTATCATGCAATATGCAATCTGTACAATTTAGGCATAATCAGGATATGCGAGAAAAGTAACACAAAAAAAAATAAAAAAAAATAAAAAGGGGGAAAGGCGTGATTAAAGAGCCACCCATCAGTGATACTTAAGCTGTTGTTGATATGCATCGTTATATTAATTTAGAGCAGGTCACGACGCCATAATCTTTTCAACCTGCATTGTGAATTTCCAGAAGAGTTGGGATGGAKGGAGCTTTTATATGAGTGGATAGTAGTGATTCGAGAGTTTGAGGGGAAATCTGTTGTAAAAAGTTTTGGCTTCTTCGTTAATTGTTTTTGTATGAAGGTCGTTATGGAGCGTAAGATTTGAAAAAATAAGGGGCATTTGTAATTTTGCGAAATGAAATATTTTGGAAAGTTTGAATTTTGTCAGTAGGTATTAGATTTTTTGGTTGCTCCCTAAAGTTGTAGTCCATAAGTCCATATAGGTTTTAAAAGAGATTTATATATTATTGTTTTTGTTTTAAATTTTGTGCATTGATTAGAATAGAGTGATTTGAGTTTGCGGGAGTGTGAGTTTAGTTTAGTTGGAGTCTTTTTGTTTTTAAATGCGTATTCCATGTTAGGCGTTTGTCAAGATGAAGACCTAAATATTTGACAGTGTCAGAARTAGTGATTGGAGTGTTATTTATGAAAACGTTGGGTCAGTAATCTTGTTTTWGAGTGAAGGTAATGTGGACTGATTTTGAGCTATTAATTTTGACCCTCCATTTTTTGTACCAGTCCGTCATTAGGTCCAGATGGAGTTGAAGCGTAGATGAAGCTATAACTGAGTTTTCGTGCATTGACATAATAGCTTTRTCRTCAGCATAATCAGCTACTAGAGTATCAGCGAGTGTGGGTTGATCAGAGACGAAAATATTAAATAATATAGGGGATAATATGCCACCCTGCTGTACGCCTGCCTTTATTGTTGAAATATTTGAGAAGGCTATATTATAATATAAATGTATTAAATTCAAATTTAAAAAAATATATATATACTAAATGTCCCATGAGGATTTACTCATTGTGATATCTCCCAAAATAATGGATCTATTAAAATACAGGTTTTATAATAAAACTCACAGGGATAAGAACTACAATTATTTCATACTTTAATTAATTTTAATCTTTTGGTAAAAAATTTGAAAAATATATTTCTTTTACGGGGGTTTTTTTTTTTTTAAATTATTTCCAAAAAGATTAAAGATTGCCATTTTGTAGTTTATTTTTCTGAAAATATTAACGTTTTAAAATTTCACTTGCATCTCTAGATTTTTAATATTTTTTCTAGTTTTGAAGAAATAAAATATGATTATAACTGGACACACTAGCGTTCAGTTGGCCGTACAAATATGAACCGCGGCACAACAAATGACATGTTTGCATGTTTGATAAGACTAATGTGTTAACAAATTTGCAATTTTTCTCGAAACCAACTAAAAAAACTAATAAAAATCAGAAAATTAATGAAAATAACATTTTGAAACGTCAATATTTTCAGAAAAATAAACTCTACAGCATGGCTATAGTCAATTTTTTTTTAAATAATTAAATTTATTTAGTTAGATAATTAACTCCCAATCAAATGCCACAAGTGGGTGACTTCTTAACACACCTACTAATGTTTTTTTTTAGCTCTTAGTATATATGCTTATTGTGCATCAATTGTACAGATTGTAATATTGTATACATTATTGTGAAAATAAAAAAATATATTTTTTATCAAAACACTAAAATATGAAATAATTGTAGTTCTTATCCCTGAGTCTTATTACAAAACAAGAATTCTGATATCTCCTTTATTTCAGGAGATATCACAATGGGTAAATCTTCAAGGGACACTGTATWCCTCGCTRTATACATTGCAATAAATATTTAATAATATGTATATTAACTATTTTCTTTTGTTTTTTCAATCAATAATTGTTATTAATAATAATTAATTTTAAAAGAATAAATTGCACAAAAAATAGTTTTTTTTTATGCTTGATTCAAATTGCCCACAATGTATATATTGCCCATAACATATATTTATGTATATATAACTTAATATTTAGACTTAGACTAAAACCCCCTTTAAAAAWTTTTTGATATTCAACTTATTATAGACACACATATTGTTAATATTATTAACATAAACAAAATAATAAATATTCTCATAGATGATAGACCAACATACAGGATTAAAATAGTATTCAAAAATATTTAATAAATTTTATTTRTACGCTTTYAATATATATTGACAAGATAGGTAGTAGGTAATAATAAAGTAAAGTAAATTAAGGTTGACAAAATTATGATAGAATTTATTCTTTTGGTCGCTGTTTCAGGATCACAAAATAATTATCATATAACAGATAAGTTGCGTGTACATATTTTATTTGAATATTATTTGTAATATACCAGAGYAATACYGTACTAATAACATAAGCTAATAACCAGGAAAGTTAAATAAAACCCATACTTGATATGATAAGWGAAAATTATAATAATCTTTGTTATTAGAAGAGTTTGGCCTTCATTTAACCAGATAACTGAGCATATACAGGGTAATTCATAAGTTTGTTACRAAACTAGTACAGATTGCATTAACATCTTATACAATCGACATCAATTTAAATAAAATTTGAATGACAATTTAATTTAATGTTAATACTAAACAGTGATAAGTCATCAATAATGACATAAACCAAATAGAACTCATCAAGAAATAACCTRCTATGCAAAAATAATCGTATAATACTTTATGTTTGGGTACTTAGTTATATATAATGAAATTTATGAATGTGAATAAAAATTATATAACATACCTTCATTAAGTTATTAGCTAAACAAAAAGTATTTAAAAAACATATGTACCTAATATAAATTTTGTAAGTAAATAAGTTCTATACTAATATTTTGTATATATAAGCAATCTATTAGTATAATTATAAATCACTTTTAATTTAATTGATRATATGTCAGTAATGACGTAATAATATGCATATGATTATTGATAATTTAAAAGTAAATACCTAGAGTAGAATATAAATTAAATATCATCAAAATTGTATTATCTATATATCTCTATTACCTATAACTCCAAGCTTTTAGCAAAACATTTATTTAAAAAACGTACATCAAAACTAGTCATGTACATTTTAAAATGTTCACAGAAATTTTTAGCTATACATTTTATTAATTATTGTCTAGATCAGTGTTTCTTTACCTATGGGCTACAACCTAAAATTGGGTAGGTAGCAAAACATTTATGATGGGTCACAGTCTTAAACTAGTAATAATTAAAAATTAAAAAATATAATATTTGAATTTTAAAATAATCTATATACCTACAACAGAATTAAGTATTACTTCTTCAATATTGCATAATATTATTAGAAGTGATTAAAATGCTTATAGCGAAAATGTGCTGTATTGATTATCTTGGTTTTTGGTAGTGTCACCTACACAGAAAATTAAATTTGTGGATCGCCATACCAAAAAGATTTGRAAACACTGGTCTAGATAACTCATACACTATATGTACCCACATATCTAATGAATAATTTTCTATATCTGAAGAACAATAGATTCAAGGAAGATATTCAGTATGAAATAAAAATATAAAAAGCGATTACAAGACATTWTTAATGCATATTAGTGTGTGCATGCCAATGCCAAAATAAAACTATATTAATGGCATGCACTCCACCAGATGAAATCATAATATTTGTAGACGTATTAAGAATCTGAAACAGGCGCAGTACACTCAATCAAGTCAGTTATTCTTACTTGCTTGCCAGCAAAAAACAATCTTTGGTTTTCTGGCTTGATGTTGAATTTTTCCTCTACGAGTTTCTTGAACTCTTTGAGCACCGTTGTCCTGGACGTGGGTATTGTGACCGACATGCCAGTATCCATCATTCTTACTTGCACATACATGATCACAGTGGGTTGACTACTGGCAGACACTTAATCAGTTTCTCGTTGACAGCAGTGGTAATTCCCTGTAAGTTGTGTGTTCATTAGATTTAAAGGAATCCACTAGTGACAGATTGAAGGGATGGTCAGAGGTGCATAATATCTCTCTACCACTCTAGCACCTATAGGTTAATAGGGAAAATTTAAATTTCCACACAAGMYAAAAAGGGTAAAAATCACTTATACAAAAATAACACTAATATGATATTTAAACTAATACTACAGTAAAACCTCGCTAAGACAGACCTTCGATAAGACGAAAACCCCAGTATTATGGAAAAAATTGTTGGTCCACWTTCAATTACATATAATTTTATACCGCTAAGACGGAAACTTCACCAAGCCGGAAACAGATACATTTTGTAATGGAAGTTGATGAAAACCCTCACTAAGACGGAAATATAACATGATTTTCATGTAATAAATTTATTTTCATATTATCGATACCCATAGACAATCGAGCGCATACGGTGACATTAAAAACTAATAAAATCGATATGTATACAGTATACACTATACAACATTATTATCTGAGTTGCTTGGTTCAGTATAAAATCGTATAKTGAAATTCATTCGAAATCTTTAACTTAATTCAATTCAATTTTTTTAACCTCGTCAAGACAGAAACCCCTTTAACACGGAAAAATTTCATRGCCCCGTATGTGATTCCATCTTATCGAGGTTTTACTGTTCTTAGTATTTCTGACATCCAAAAACATATTTTTACGAGAAAAATATGGTATATCTACCTAATGTTAATTCTATATAAATAAAAGGCATTTCCTCACTGCTTTTCAAACTTAGGATAGACAATTTAAATGTAGTTGTRATTAAACTTTTTTTTGTTTTTGTCTTTCACAAAAAAATCTTGTTTCCAATTTTTAACAATCAACGAGTACTGAATACAACAACTGATTTTTTTTTAAACAAATACTTATTGATTTTTAATTAATATATCTTACCTAATCTGATTGTGATATATTTTACCCTAATAAAAAAATTTTTTGGTACCTAGAATTTATTGTTCATCACAATTAATAATATGTAGATAGGTAGTTAGGTATGCAAGTATTAAATACAAATACACAAATACGGATATTTTTTTTACAAATGTGTTTAAATTGTTTTGAAAAATGATGAGCCTCCTTACAACAAAAATTCAGGGACACGTCCAGCAACTCCAGCGGAAACAAATCCCCCGAACTACAATAGTTTTTAACTTTACCTGTTCTGGCTGTCCTCACGAAACACAGTTGATCGTCGTCGTTATTCGTCACGAAATCATATGAGACATTGATGCTGGAATACTGGCCATTTGCGGAATCGGCGGTGAAAACGACAACCAGAAACTGACAAAACACAGAAAATAAAACTATAACGAATAAGTGAATACAAAGGGCTCGGCGAACAATCGAAACGGAAACAAAAAACRATTTTGGCGGGATGCCGTGAGTGTCAATGTATGCCGTATGAGTGCGCGACAAGGTAGCTRAGTGACTGGTCAGTGGTCACAACTCACAAGGCACTAAACAGGTATTGGGTAATGTACGGCGGCAGTTGTCGGATACGGCGCCAAACGGAAAAYAAACGGTTATTACCAATGCGCGGCAAAAAGATAAAACCTAAACTGACCAGATTACTGATACTGAACGCGCGCGAACACGACGACCGCCGGGCAGCTCTGCTGCAGCTGCTGCCGACAAAACGGACTTTTTGAATTACATACACGGTTTATTTTATAAGTGATAACACATATTACACGACTTTTAAATGCGTCGAGGTATATAAAAAATGCTATATAGTAGAGTTTTTATAYCACGATGTTATAATATGCTTAAATCATTTACTAGTAATTCAATAGAATAAACTGGTTTAAGATTATCCCACATTATCTCGAACCGAGTTGATGAGCCATGTAAATTTATTGACGTGTGTGAAGACGTTAGGTGACTATTTTTCGGACGATCAATGATAAGAAATCATGTACGTTGAGTTGCGTTTAATTCGATTTCAGGGTGTACAGTAACAGTATTATTACATGAAAAGTTGTAGATGTCGCACTATGTTATGTAATAATTATCATGACTAAATAGACTAAATCTATTTAGTATCTTTCAAACAATCGTAGCTCTGAATTGAAATTATATGTTAAATAACCTCATACCTCATTTAATTAGATTTTATAATATCATTAACTTATTTTCCAACAATCACTAATTATCGTAGTTCCTAGCAAAATCCAATCCGTTATTGCCGCCAACAACGTATCTTTGTCCCAGCGTTYAACAGGAACTAAGAAACACCCACTGACCTTCGACACGATGTCCTCTATGGTATTTCCTTTTGCCGAATTTTGACTCATCTATTTCTACGGCTTTCGCTTCACCACCTATGTATAATTATAAAATGTAAAATGCAAAAAATGTGACTACGCGTGTTTCGGCACAAATCGAAAATATCCCTTGACTTGCTATGCAACGCCACCTCAAGTAGGTCACAGTCTCACAGGGTAAGTTATGTCGTAGTATATTGGCAGTGATTACACAGCTTGCCAAGACTGGGCAAGTTCACTATTTTTTTTTTAACTTGTTAAGTTAAKTTAATATAGAAAAATATAARTAAAGTTAAAAGTCAACTTTATTTTTATATAAACACATAATACAAATACAACCAGCATGGTCACTCGCTCAGTCGAAAAATTAAAATACAATAAAATATGTAATGTAATACATATACATACCGATCTTTTTATGTCGAATAATCATTCCGTCAAAAACAACTTCACGGTGAAAAGAGGCCGAATCGACAGACGTCTGTCGTGCTATGTCCGTTTGTTTACGTATGAATTCAAGTTATACTTGTTCATTCCATAAATAAGCAAACATTACAATTTGGTAGATTGACAGGTGAGACTTGGAGAAAAGGTAAATTTCCGAATGGATTGTTAAAAATCGCACTTCACTTTTTTTTTTTACTTTTATCGATTGAGGTTTGTCTGCACCGCCAAACAAAACCATCCATAGAGTTGACATTAGAACATAATAATAAGAAATGACCTTTATTGCATTTTAATTGCAAAAAATTGCAAGYACTGACGTTGGCAATAAGTTCCCAAGACTGCAATATGTTTCTATGATTGGCATGCTTAATGTTTATAATATTGATATACMTTAAAGAAAACGTTAAATCTAGCGTCTTACTACATTGTTCGATAAATAATGAAAATTTAAGCAATGAATATTACGATGAATCATATTTACACGAATTCATAGTCAAGTGTGTACCTACCTTTCTTAGCACTGTGGACACCTATTATGAATAATAAAGTCAACAATAGCATTGGAATCCGTCAAAGTAATGCTACCGTTGAATCTTGGTTTAAAACGCTAAAAGTTGACATACTTGGTGGTGACCGAAGTGGAAGTGCGGTCGGTTTTTAAAACTTATGAGAGAGCGTGTAATGAATGTGCATAAACAAATAAAGTATAATATTAGACCAACCAAATTAATAATCTATAATCTATTATGTTGTAATATGTGTAATGTTTTTGTAAATAATGTAAATAGTGTATACGACAATTATCATTAACAATGTAAACTATGTCAGCATTGTCAGCCAATGGCCTCCGCAGCCGAGGCTTATTTCTAATAAAAAAAAAAAAATATATTAGAAAATAAAACTTGTACGCGTGCACTTGATTTTGGCAATAAGTCTAGTCAGATAACTAACAAAGGAGGAAATGTGAAAAGAAAAATCTCWGAAATTTCTAACCATAACCTCATTTGGACGCAATAGAAAGTTGGGGTAAAAAAGAGAAACAACACAAACATCTCCAACCCACCAAGAAGTACCGTCCTTTCAAAGCCCTGTCGTTAAGAATCCTAAAGTCTTCAACCACTACAGCAGATGAAAATAACCTTACACTCAAAGTGAAGGATGGTATTGACAGCATTATAGTGGTCATGGAATGTGACAATGATGCTAGGTTCACCGTGGGTGATGCTATTAATAGCGAAGTGGTTCAGTGGTTGTCAATGATTTGAGTAAGCCATTGTCGGATAATTCTTTAATGAAATCAGTTTCAACACCTGGTGGTACTTGGTAGTCATAAATCTCCATTTCGACGATCAGTGCAATCTATAGACTCGCACAAAAATATGCTCCCTAAAGATTTGACGTACTATAAACGAATGCCAGAGAATAGAGAATATATAGTTGGTAGGTATGTTACGCAAACTTCTTATGAAATATGATTATATGAATATATGTTACAAATTTACAATCTTTACTTAATGCCTGTCATGATATCAAAAATTGATGATAAAAACCTTATTAATGTTAAAATTGACTTTGAAAAGACAGCTATAATAATGCTACAAACTATATGAAAAATTGTCATAACATAATCTATGGTAATCCAGTCACAACTATGGTGAACACAATGTAAAAGGTTCCGGGTCATCGTTATATGAATGACTGAGAGGCTACACCCCCCCCTCGAAATCCACAAAACATTTATTATGTACTAGAAGATTCAATCATAGAAGCTCGATACATGATGCTTAATTTTGATGTTCAGTACTGCTGCATTGTGGTAATTTTGATTCATTTTACCTAAAATTGATTTACTGATATACACGCTTTTGTCGCATCTCAATCACTGCACAATAATTAAGGTAGTCCACATACGACAGGCATACTTAGACAATGGTGACCATTTACCTCAACACAACCCATTACACATTTTCAACTTTTTTAAACGCTAATCTTTAGTGCTTAATTCCTGCCACCGTTCCCGAATTTCCCTGTCTTATATTTGTACTCAATTGCTTGGCTAATGTTTCATCTACTTTAATTTAACTTTCAGTTATTTCAAAACTAGGATTTTGAGCAGGATTGATCAGTCATTACTCATTAGTCTTCTTAGTTTTAAGAATACTCAAGGTTCAAATAAATAATATATTATATTATATTATAATTAAAACCAACTTCTGGATTAAATAATCTCTTTAGGCTTAAATTTACTCCTAAAAAGATAATAAATAAACCAACATCAAATTATTTTTTAATATTACATATTAATATATTGAATATTTTAAAGCTATTTTTGAAATACTTAGCAATAATCACTAATTTATTTATTTATTCCTGTTTTTTTTTTTTATATATATATTTAGATTGATATTAAATTAAAAATTAATGTTAACACTGCATATTCATTTCCAAATATGAATAACAAAGAATTTTTAAATACTATTTTCTTAGAAAATATCAATTACTATATATGACTTGAAGAATTATCGTACCCAAATATGAAAATAATTTAAATGTGCAATATTTAATAAATAAAAAAAAATTAAAATTAAGTAGATGCTCATTCAAAACTCCATTACTTGATCAGAAAACTGAAAAATAAAAATATATTTAGGTTATGTAACTGTATAAATTAATTTTTTTTATTTAATTAGTTAATATTACCTATAAGGATATCCATGTGCTTTTGATTTGAATATAGATAGAATAACACTGAATAAAAATACAACCAATGCTAGTCCACCAACAGTCATTATTTTACGAGTCTTAGAATCTGTTTTCTTTGTATAAGAATCTATCATTATCACAGCTCCAAAYACCAATATTGTATCTATAGAAATATTAAGGTAAACTTCATAATTTTAAAAATAATTTTTTGTTAAATATKTCATTTTACAACTAACTGAATAAAAAAATGTTACAATTATCGATTCTAAGATTTGTGGTGTACAAAAAGTGTACCATAGATAATATTTTAAGTAAGTGTATTATCAAATAAAGTACATTAATATAGGCTTATTTTTATTGATTTGAGGTTTAATTCCTGAAAAAAAAAATATAATATGTTAGTGCCAAATATCCATAAACTATTTTACAACAATAGTCAGCTTGCTGGTGCCATTTACCTGTAAGTATATTATATATTTGTGAAATTAAATATGTACATTTTAAATAATATTAATTATAATTTATAATCCAATCTCTGGTAATTATATAATATTTTAACCAAGTTTAAAGGAATTGAAAAAAGCAGATATATCAATTTTAAGAAAACATAATAACAAATTCAAATCAGTCTTCAAAAATTGTATCATATCACTAGGTTTGTAAATATGATTTATAATATATTGGTAAATTTTGGTTAAAATAATAGACCGTCGTCACAAATCCTCTAAAATTAATTTTTATGTTAYARATATCAGTGCTAGGCTGAATTAAATGTATATTATTTTCATCATTTTTTAATAGTGACAACCTAAATTTATAACCATTTTATATAAAAATAGATTTATTTTGATAGTCATAATTATAATTTTTTTAGTAATTTATTAATTTACATGGWTCAGTCTGTTGATCTTAGAGAGCCTGTAGCCTAGTAAAGACTATACTCACTGTTCTACCTCTGTTTCTAAACATAGATACTTGAAAACTCTCAATAAATTTCAAACCTTTTGGTTTATATTAACATGGATATTCTTTTTTTTAATTTTGATACATGGTATGTAAAGTTAATCAAACTGAAACTTTACAGTACCAAAAAATKATTAAAAGGATACTCAATAGAATTATGATGTAYGTTTCGACAATAAACTGTCCTTGTGAAGAATTGTGAATATATGTGATAATGCCTTGCTGATTACGATGCATTAGTGGTGGTCCTCTAATATGGTTCCACATTTGTCCAGAAATCATATTCAGACAGAACAACTAAAAAAMATAGCTTAATATTTTATCGATTAAAAAAAAAACTACAAAAAACTTACCACAGAAAAAACTCCCCATAAATTTTTATTGAAAAACATTTCCATATTATTTCGTCTGATGTATAAAAATGATGAGCATATTGCAAATAAGATAGTTAAGGCCAATGTACTTGAATAATTTGGTGGTCGGAATATTCGTATCTATAGTAAACAATTATATTTATATAATGATAAATATTATTTAACATATCACAGTATAATTTTTATTTTATTAAAAACTAAAATTTAATAAATTCAAGACACAGTTTATAGTCTGAACAACAGACATATACTAACTTGTACGTCAGTTCTTTCTTGTATCCATTTTGCAATCATTTCTGATGCAAATCCAACTCTTTGTATATCCATAGTATCTAAAGGTTTTGGTTTACCTTTTGCTGGAAAATGCATGAACACTGGAGCAGTATTGATTCGCAACTATATCAATAAAAATATTGATTAACTTATGGTTCAGTAATGAAAAGTAATAAATTTGAAAATTTGATACAAACCATTTGAAAAATATCAGATCCTTCATCAAAGTCAACAATTCCAAAGTATAAAGGACTTTCAGTTAATCTATGAGAATAGCGATATGAATTTGCTACAATTATAAATTCATCACTAGCATGCCTAAAAATATAATAACCTATTTAAAAATATATTCAATACGTACAACTAGATAATATAGTAATTAAATTATAACTTAAAAGTTAAAATACTTATCAATGAAAAATTAAATCGATTAAAAATAACAAAATTTCAAGTACAAATATAAAAAAAAATTACCCGCATATTGAACATTGTCTATGAGATGCCATTGCAGTGAACATCATAATAACGGAATAGTTTCTTGGTGGTGATTTGACAAATTCCTTAAATTTAGGCCCATTAAATTTAACCAAAAATTTCTTTTGATATAAATCATTTAGTTGCTGTACTTTTTGATCAAGGCTCTAAAATATAAAGTAATACAGTAATTATTACAATTTGTTTGTTATTAAGTTGATTTATATTTAACTTAAATTATAAACATACACTATACATATATATTTTAATATTAAAGCATACTATATTATTTGTATAAAATTATAATTAAATGTTCAAGAGATTAAATGATTTATCAAACAATTTAAAAGCATTAAGTCTAATGGATCCTCTAACAGAGTTATAGTTATATTAACTCWTAATGCAGAGATTATAGATTTAACTTCTTTGTAAACAGATTGACCGAAAACATAAAAACTCTACAATATACCTATTATATGTGCACTATTTGCCATTACTCCATGTGAAATAAGAATAATAAGTAAACAACTGGTTAAAGAAGTCAATATATTAATATCACTTATGAATGCAAGATATTTTAAGTTTTTAGTTTAGCTATATCAATTATTATTTAAGTAAAGATCATTAGTCAAACAAGAATTAATATTAACAATATGTTAAATATACCTTTTTTTTATTAAAATTATTWAGTATCTATAAAATATAATTAGTATACTGAGCAAATTTAATAAAATAATGGTTAGATTATCATTTATACACAGGTACTTTACAGTGCCAACTGATCAAGTGCTTTATAGATATTATTGTTTTTTTCATTATTTTAATTTTATTAGGTCTCTAGGCCATTGTCTTTGAGTCTTTTATGTACAGAAGTGAGATGAAGGATAGTTGTTTGATTAATAGGTTACTATAAGAGTTTAAGTTAGAATTAAATTTATAGTAATAGAATTTCGTTAATTGATTAAGAGTCAAAATTGTTATGCCTTTATGAAGATAGTTTTTTGTGAAGTACCAAGAAATAGAGGTTACTAATAATTTGGAGATGGATTGAAACACCTGAAGTGTTTTGGTAACAAATTTTATTAGGACAATTATTGTTGATTGTTGAACTTTATTTGYCCTAAAGGTCTAAATGTTTACTAATTATGTTCATCTAGAAGTCAGCAACTTACTTTTTAAGGCATTATAATAAATTATTGAGTACTTACTGTTTTTATGTACTTATGTACACAAAAAATAATGTTCTAAAAACATTTTTTACATAGTGATTGATTTCAATTAAATTAATATTAAGGAATAGTTTTAAAAGTATGATATCGTACAAAGATCTTACCTTAGGACGCTCTTCCCTAGCACTTTCTACTAAGGAATTTAACACAATAAAAGCACAGAAAAGAATGGTTATTAAATTCATTTTTATAAGGTTTGAGAATATATGTGAATTAAAACAAAAAATGCATACTGAAACTGAAATACTAAATAACTAACGTTCTTCCAACGTATTTAAGTATTGAGTGAAATTTAACATGAACGACAATTTATTGAAAACGTCGTACCTATGTATAAAAATGTATGAATATCGAATAGCAGAATATTAAACAATAATACCCTAGCACCTATGAGCTGTAAACAAATATTAAAAAATAAAAATGTAGTGACGTGACGTTATGATAAAATTGCAAAACACAATTTTCTTGCCGGTTTGATAACGTCATGTCATCAAAAAAGTACTACCAACTTAAATTGATATTAATTTTAATCACTAATCACCATTCACCACTTAAGTTCACCCAAATATCCCATACCAATGGTATGGTATGATACCATACAGAACTTATAGCAGTAATGTTTGTTATGGTTCACGTTAAACAATAATATTATTGAATATGCCGGTATCTTCACTATCACTATCTTAAATTCCACTCTTATCTCTGTTCCTTACGTCCAATATTTTTGCAGAATTCTGATCTAATTCTTTCTATTTCATAGAACATATATTATT